TATTTGAGAGAGAGAGAATGAGAGACAGAGAGCACAAGAGGGAAGAGGGCAGAGGGAGAAGCAGACCCCCAGCGGAGCAGGGAGCCCGATGTGGGACTCGATCCCGGGACTCCAGGATCATGACCTGAGCCGAAGGCAGTTGCTTAACCAATTGAGCCACCCAGGCACCCCATCTGGGGTTGTCTTGACAGCATGTGGGATTCAGTGGAGGCTGCGTGCGTCCTTTACCTTAGACAAAAGCTTTATTGAGATAGAATTCCTTTGCAATACGACTCCCCATCTTAAGGTGAGCAAAATGCGTCCTGTCCACACGATAAAACCTTACTCAGCCTTATGAAGAACGGACGTTCTAACACCTGCCACCATGTGGCAGAACCTACCAGACACTGCTCAGTGGAAAAGCCAGTCCCGAGAGGAGGGTGGTGTAGGGCTCTGCCTCCACGAGGTCGTTGGGGTCAAAATCAGACAGGAAGTGGATGGTGGGGAGGGCGTGTTTCACAGGGACAGAGCTCCTGTTTGGGAAGACGGAGGGGTTCTGGAGATGATGCTGGTGATGGCCAGGTGAGGTGAACTTGCTGCCGCTGAGCTGTGCACTCACCACGGTCACGGCACTGAACAGGGTCATTGTCTCTGTGCTTGCTGCTCAGTGGCATTTGGTCCTTGACTGTGTCGTGTGACCTCAAGGGAACGGCCCTTGGCATGCACTGCCCGGGCGGGTGCCTGCAGCATCAGGCTGCCGTCTGTGGCCTTGACTGTGCCAGGGCGTCCCGCACGCGTCCCAGGGCCCATCCGTGCACAGTCTGGGCCAGAGCTTCTTCCCTTTTCCCAGGTGTCTGGGCGCCAGATTGGATGAGGTTCTGGAATAGAAGGGGCTCTGGGTACAGGAGCTAGGCCGCTGGGCTGTTGCCAGGGGGCCGTCCAGCTTTCCCTCCTGTCACCCACACAAGTGCGGTGACGCTGGGGTACTCAGAACTGATGTTCTGCGTGGTCCCCAGAACGTCCTCCGGCACCGCCTGTGGGCTGATGGCGCCGGTGGGGCGAAGGGCTCGAGGGCACTCAGTTTATTTTGAATTTTGGAAAATGCCATCCTTCCCTAGAGTAATGACAGCTGCCCTGGGTCTTCTTTAGGTCCTGACTCTGGCTGCCCAGCAGCTGTCTCGGCCTGGGCGCCTCCCCAAGGCTCCCCAGTGTGGCTCCCCGAGTCCCGCCTCCCAGCCCAGCAGCACCCAGGCTCCCGCCTGGCGGGCAGTCGTGCAGGAGCGGATCAGAAGCAAGACCCGGCGGTTCTCTCAGGTCAGCTGGGACCCGGCTCAGGTCCTCGGACCTGAGTGGGTGCTGAGTGGTCGGTGGCCTCTAGGGGCTGCCTGCTTGGGGGCGTTCTGTGAAGGGAGTTTTGGGTACAAACTGAGTGAGGGACACATGCTGTAGGGTATCAGAGTGAAGTGGTTTTAAAACGGGACTGCAGACGTGGGCGTGAAAACAGCCTGAGGAATCCTGCATCAGCAGGAACGGACCTGGCGTGTGCTGGGTCATCGTGTGCTGGGTCATCGGGGTCCACTCGGGGCTGTCACGGGGGCCGGGAGCTGCTTGCGCCCCACGGCGCACGGGACAGTGCCCACAGTGGGAGTCCTCCCTGGGGGAGGGGCCTGGCACCTTGAGCACCGTGTGTTTGCAGCGCTCTCCCAGGTGGGGGCCGGACGCTGGCCCCAACGAATTCAACTTGGTGGCTGGCTACTTCTTCTTCCCCCTCATTCGGCACTTTGACAGGTGAGCGGGAGGCCTGCATGCCCTCGCGGACAGGAGGCTTCCCAGCGTGGAGTCTGCGGTCCTGCAGCAGGGTCATGACCTGGGTTGGGCAGGCGATGTGGGGGTGTCAGGTGCCACCATCTCACAGATGACGGGCTCTGGCCGGTGGGGCTGGAGCCACACTGTGGTGCCTCGCCGCTCTGCCCGGTCTGCATCTGTCTGTCCAACGCCTTCCCCTCGTGACTCTGGGTCACGCACGGGGACGGGCAGTGAGGAGGGGCGTCCGGGGCCCCGGGTGTCCCTCAGTGGCCCAGGGGCTTGGGAGCCAGCTCCGAGTGCCCAGCCTGCACGTTCACTGGTTCTCTGTTTTAGGCCCCTGGTGACCTTTGACCTTTTGGGAGAGGACCAACTGGTTCTTGGGAGATTGGTCCACACCTTAGGGGCCCTGATGTACCTGGCTGTGAACACCACGGTGAGGGGGAGGTGGTAGCTGGTGGCTGTCCCCACAGAGGGCCTCACCTTGGACGCAAGCACAGGCTCCAAGGTGGGGTCCGCTTCTGGGTGCCAGGACCCCTGCCCACTGGTCTCTGTGGTTTCAGGTGGCTGTGGCCATGGGCAAGGCCCTCTTGGAGTTTGTGTGGACCCTTCGCTTCCATGGTGACGCGTGAGTGGCCGTGGGGCTGAGGGCAGTGGTCCCATGTGGACACAGAGACGGGGTTCCAAATCCTGCTGTGATGTGGAAAGCAGAAGGTGGGGGGCGGCTCCTAGGTTGGCTTGGCACTTCCTAAGCAGGAAGGGGCAGGGTGGGGTCGAGCATGCTTTGGTTGCCTGTGTGTCTGCTGTACCCCGAGGAGAAGTGGGGTCTTCCTGGCCTGGGGCTCCATCAGGACTCAGACTTCTGGCCTTCTTTGTCAGCTATGTGCGCCGGGGCCTGCTGTCCGCAGTCTCCTCTGTCCTGCTCAGCGTTCCGGCCGAGCGACTGCTGGCCGACCTGCCTGATGAGCTGCTGGAAGCCCGGCCCTGGCTGGCGGGTGAGCACCGGGCCCCCAGCCATGTTGGCGAGGCGGGAGGGAGGAGGCTGGTGCAGCCTGGAGGGTCCCCACAGCCATCAGGGCATGGGGCGGCAGGGACCTGGCTGTTGTCGGGTCACTTTGTGGAGGTTCTGCGGGGGGACCCAAAAGAAGGTGCCCTAATGTGGGAGATGAGGGCTGTATTTGTTCTGGAAAATTCCAAATCGGCAGTAAGGTTACAAGAGCCATACAGCGAGCACTGTGTAACCTCAGCAGGTTCGCCGATTAGCAATTTTTTTTTTTAAAGACTTTACATAAGTAGGCAGACAGGCAGGCAGAGGGAGAGGGAGAGAGAGAAGCAGGCTTCCCGCCGAGCAGGGAGCCCAACGCGGAGCTCAATCCCAGGATCCTGGGATCACGACCTGAGCCGAAGGCAGATGCCCAATGACTGAGCCACCCAGGTGCCCCTGCCGATTAGCATTTTGACAAACTTCGCACCCCGTCAAGGTTTTTTGAAAAGTCTGCTGGAGCCAGCGTGACCTCCCACCTACAGGCACTTGAGTTGCCCAGAGCGAGCGCACACCTTTCCACTCTCGGGGCTCACGGCTGGGACTCTATGGTCTGATGTGCTGCCACGCTCGGAGGCCCAGAGGTCTGATGACGGCCTTTGTCTTTCCTTTCTGTGGGACCCGGGCTCCAGGCAGGGCCCCTTTCGTCGTGTTGGTCGGTTTGCAGAGCGCCCTTCAGTGTGGCTTTCTCTGATCACATGTGTCGGGATGGCTCAGGGGCTTGTGCTGCAGGCATGCGGCGTCCTGAGTCCCAGGATGGGTCCTGCTGCCTCCCTGCCACCATCGCCCCAAGGGGAGGCAAAGGCCTTTGCTGGGGTCTGAGGTGCTGCTATCTCGGGGGCGGGGGCAGACAGGACACGCCGGGCCCCGCGGGGGCTCGTGCAGGAAGACTTCCCTGACAGGAAACCGAGGAGGGCTGGCCTGCGCGGCCAGGTGGCGCTGCTGACGTCCCGCTTTCTCTGGGCCTGGCAGATGTGGCGGAGCAGGACCCCGATGAGGACTGCAGGGTGCTGGCGGTGAAAGCGCTCCTGCTTCTGGAGAAGCTCAGAGACACACTTGTCCCGCTGTCGTCTCCTTAGTCCCTGCTCAAGAAGGCCCTGCCCCGCTGGGGCTAGCCCGGCTGGCCTGAGGGCTCTGCCAGCGGTCCACGCGAGGGCCTCTGGTGCTGCCCCCGTGGACAGGGCCACCTGAACGTGGCCCAGGGGTCCCGAGGAGGGACGGAGCCGCTGGGGCCCCTGCGGGCTGCTTCTTAGCCTGTCCCCAAGCCCCTTCCTCACCTGAATGCAGACTTTAAAAAACCACAAAAAGGAAGAATAAAAAGGAGCTGCAGGTACTCAAGCCCACGCCTCGTGGCTCTCACTGCTCGGGCAGGGTCCACAGTGCCTCAATGGGCCCTCCGAAGGGGCACAGGTGTTGGCAGCTGTGGAAGGAGCTGGGGGTGGGAGAGCCCAAGGTCCCCCTCCCTGCTCTGACATGGCCTGAGGCCGGCCCCTCCCCGCAGGAGCTGGGGACAGAGCTGCACCCGCAAGGCTGCCTCGTGGAGGAAACCCGCCCCGCAGAGGCCACCGTGTCACCTGGGCAAGGCCACCCCCATGTCCATTCCAGTGGACACCAGGACCTGTGGTCAGGAATGGTGCGTCCCGCTGGAAATAGTTGTGCTCTCAGGTGCCTGCCTGTGTGCTGGGACGAGGCGCAGTGAATATACTAACACGCACAGTCCATCGAGTTCTAGTGTTTTAGGTTTTACAATTTGTACTTGGGAGACTGTCACGGAAAAGATGAGCCAACTCCCTTCCTAGTAAAGGGACCGCAGGGGCTAGGAATGCCGGAAGGACACACGATTGCCCCTTCTAAGCAGGATAGCCAGTGCCCTGGGGCATCAAATACCAGTTTATATTTCAACAAGAAAGTCAGGCTCTTGCTACCAACCCCGGAAAGTTCCAGAGGAGCTTGCAGCAGCGGCTATCAGGGGTCACTCTCCACCTCTTCCACCACCTCCTCGTCTACTTCCTTGTGGTCCTCCACGCTGTTGTGGCGGATGCGCTCAGGCACGGTGCGCACCAGAGGGATGCCCAGGCCCTGGTGCACGGCATCCACGGTCCGCTGGTTCACGTAGTAGGACATGTTGGCAGAGGGCACTCGCTTCCGCATCTCCTCCAGGTACTTGTAGGCCTGGGTTGGGACAGCCGTTACCAGGTTAGTGCACGGCGAAAACCAAAGAGCCCACACCCTCTGTCCGGGGCGGTGAGTTTCCTGGACACCCACCCCGTGCCTTCACAAGAGGGGCCTGGGGACAACTGTCTATGACCGCACAGCTTTTCCGAGGGCTGGCGGTGTCCAAAGCTTGGGCTCTGACTGTGCTGTCGGCTGTGGTTAGCACTCCCAGCTGAGCAGGAAAGCCCTGTGAGCAGCTTGGGTTGGAGGACCCGAGTGTTTGGGGGCCACGCTCCCTGCAGGAGACATGAGGGAAGGAGGCATTCACACTGCAGACGGCTCCAGGGTGGCAGGGCAGGCGGCCAATGTATGCCGTCCACCTGGTTTTCTCTGACCAAGCATCAAATCTGCCCCACCTTGTTGGGCCTAGGATCAGTCTGAATCTCTTGTATATATGGTTCTCGATCATAAGCCAGTAAACCGTGGAGCTGTCAGTGGTTTTCCTGTGGAACTTACTCTGGTTCTGCCAGTGGGAATATGTGGGAGAGCCTGGGGTTGAGGGACCTGAGCCTCCCACAGAGCACCACACTTATATCTGCCCACACCTGTCCACGCGTGCCTACGCCTGCCCACGCCTGCTATACCTGCCTGCACGTGCCTACACCTGCCCGCACGTGTCCGTGCCTCTCCATGCCTGCTATACCTGCCCACACCTGCCTACACCTGTCCACACCTGGTATACCTGCCTGCATGTGTCCACACCTGTCCACACCTGCTATATCTGCCTGCACGTGCCTACACCTGCCCGCACGTGTCCGCACCTGCCCACGCCTTTTACACCTGCCCGCACCTAAGCATGAGGAGAGGAATAGGTCTCATGTGGCTTCTAACGCTTACCACCAAGTTCAGATGTGATCAAAATTTCTAAGCTTTAAAAATTTTTTTTTTAGGGGCGCCTGGGTGGCTCAGTTGTTAAACGTCTGCCTTCGGCTCAGGTCATGATCCCAGGGTCCGGGGATGGAGCCCCGCGTCGGGCTCCCTGCTCCGCGGGAAGCCTGCTTCTCCCTCTCCCACTCCCCCTGCTTGTGTTCCCTCTCTCTAATAAATAAATAAAATCTTAAAAAAAAAAACTTTTTAAAATAAGAAATGATGATCAGATCTTAGTATTTCTTTTTCTTTTTAAAAAAGATTTTATTTATTTGTCAGAGAGAGAGTGTGTGCATGAGCATGAGCAGGGGAAGCTGCAGGTAGAGGGAGAAGCAGACTCCCCGCTGAGCAGGGAGCCCGACGCAGGGCTCGATCCCCAGACCCTGAGATCATGACCTGAGTCAAAGGCAGACGCTTAACTGACTGAGCCACCCAGGTGTCGCAAATCTTAGTATTTCTTAAAGATGATAAAATTTCCAGAGCAATTTTAATTTGGGTGGCTAGAACTAAGATAGAAAAAATACCACATAAAGGGGCGCCTGGGTGGCTCAGTCAGTTAAGCGTCTGCCTTCGGCTCAGGTCATGACCTGGGGGGTCCTGGGATCGAGCCCCGCATCGGGCTCCCTGCTCCGCGGGAAGTCTGCTTCTCCCTCTCCCTCTGCCGCTCCCCCTGCTTGTGCTCTCTCTCTCTGTCAAAGAAGTAAACAAAATCTTAAAAAAAAGATGAAGATGAAAAGTAAGCTATGGTTGTTGGAGGGATGGAGGATGGGCAGAGTGCAAGCTCCCAGGTGCTCAAGGCGGGGCGGCACCCACACAGGAGGAGACTGTGTGCTGTGAGCCCGGCACCGTGCCACAAGTACAGAGCAGATGAAGGCCAGGGCTCGGAGCTGTGGGGACTAGACAGAATCCAGGGGTGGGGTCCAGAAGCAAGGGGCTGCTGGAGACCATGGTGCAGGGGTGTACCCCCTCTGTGTACAGAGCTGGTTTCTCAACAGTCAAGGCAGCAGTTTCCAGAAGGAAGGCATGGTCACCAGATACAGATGAAGGGTGACAAAGAAGTTCTCAGGCCGTCCTGGCCGATGAGGACGCCCACTGTCCAGGGTCGGGCGGCTGGCGCGGTGGCGAGGCGAGTGCGAGGGGGCAGTGGGAGACACGAAGCAGGGACAGGGGCCTTCTCTCCCCACCAGAGCATGCTTGGCCTGCCTACCTCCTCAGCACTCACAGGTCTGTTTAAGTTAAAGTTGCTAAATCCCATAGGCTCCAAACAAGGGTTGAGGAAGCAAAGAATCTGGTGAAATCATTAAGAGTGATTTCTGAGCAAACAGTCACCTGAGTCCAATTATGTGTTTCTTCCCCAAAAAAGAAGGAACCTTGCTGAGAGGAGATTTGGAGTTGCTTCAGCAGAGGGTCAGCAGGTGGACATGGGCGGGGATAAAGAGGGGGCAAGCAGCAGGCCAGGGACCTGAGTGTTATTTGTGGTGCTGACCTTCGGGCTATGGTGCCGTGGATGGGCTGAGGTCCTGTGCGCTCCGGAGGCCAAGGCCCAATGCCACAGGCACGGCTCGCTAGCGACATTTCTGAAATTGATTCATCGTTAGTCGCTTTACAAGCGCTCAGGAGAGGAAGGTGAAAGGCTCCCTGGGGTCGCCCTGGTCTCTCCAGGAAACATCTACTCTTAACTACGAGCGGCACCCACAGGACACCCTCGGAACACAAAGGAAAACTGCAGCCGGAGGGCAGGGGGGGCTTCTAGTGTTGGTAACAAGAGGATGGTGAACGGGGAGAGGCTTCTGGTGGGGGCAGAGGGACTGGCACGGAGCAGCCCTCTTCCATGCAGGGGTGCGCCGGGCAGACTGCACAGGCCCCTGAAGGGAGAACCAGCCTTGGGCGGGCAGACGGCAGGGAGCCGACACTAGGAAGCAGGGAAGAGCCTGGGTGAGGGGAGTTCCTGCTCCCCGTAGCCTTTGCCTGAGGAGAGGCCCACTCAGGGCCACTGGGGGAAGCAGACCAGCACGTAGAAAACCCACCCTTACTGGCTTGAAGAACTGGAATCAGAATTGGGGTCAACCACAGCAGCCGGAAATGAGGAGACATTGGAAAAGAGAGAGTCCCGGAGGGGAGCCCGTGCCCTGGGAATGGACGCTGCTCTCTGGTCCCTTCGGCACGCTGCATGTGGTGGGGACAGGGGCCAACTTCAAGCCTGGCCCAAGCTAAAGTACTGAGCAGCAACTCCCTCTCAAGGCTGCCTTCCATGGTGGGGAGCCAAGCCTCTGAGATGGGTGGAGGGAAGTTGCTGGAAGGAAGGAAGGAAGGGAGAAGAAACAAACAAGCATACTCTTTGGAGGAACATCACAGAACCCAGTCTCTACCATGGTTTATCCACGGTGTCTGGGACACAAAAGAATCTCTAGACGTAAGAAGCAACAGGACAACATGACCTACTCGAGAGACAAGACGGATAACGGAGACTACCTGATGCAATCCAGAGGCTACTAGAGGGGCAAATTATAATGCCAGCTGAAATGTAGGGATAGGAGCAGCATCAGAGTGGACACCGCACAAGACGGGTGAACTTGAAGCAGTAGCAATAGCAAAAGCAAAAGCCAAAAATGAAAACTAGAGAAAATTCTGGAAAAAAACAGAGAAGAGAATCAGTTGAGCCAGGAGACAATCTTCACAAGCAATTGGAGTTCCATCGGGAGAGGACAGAGGGATAGGAGGGAACTTCCCACAGACGGGAGAAAACACTGGCAGGTCATAGGCTGGTACAGGAAAGGTGCCTAGAATTCATAAAGGCCACAACCAACGTAAGAAGACAAACCCTGAACAAAACCACGGGGGAGGATTTGGGCACTCAGAGGACATGAGCCCATGAGAAGGGGCTCAACACCGCTAGTCACTGAGAGAAGGCACATTAAAACCACAAAGAGCTACCGCTCCGTACCCACCGAGATGGTGGGCATTAAAGACCCATCATACCAAATGGGGAGGAGATGAGGAAGCACACGGGTGCAGGGTGCAAGCTAAACACGTCCCTTCTGCTCCGAACACCATCTTTATTTGTAAATGTGACTCATGGTAAGTTGTGCCTACTCAGGGCTGGGTATGTGGCACTTTTTCTCAGAAGTGAACAAAGGGGGCCACCACTTCAAGGAAAATGGTAATGGACAGTGTTTGTGCTCAGGATAAATTGTGTGCTTTCACACGGAAGGATTTCAGAAACCTTAGGTATCGGCCACCACGAGCTGGACATCCTCCCAAAATCTAGAGACTTTTCTGATGGGGCTGGTGGTAATACTAAAAAATAGAATTTTTTGATTCGTATAATGAAACGTGTTGACATTTGCTAACTCAGTGAACCCATAATTTCCAGATGAGCAACATGATGTTATAAGATCACGTGTGTGTGAAAGATCCAAGACGGACCAGCGGGCTTTCATATCACCAAGTACAACAGCATCCGACCTCACAGCTAGGTGTTAAACCCCACTTGCTGACTTTTGGTGTAGGCTCAAAGGTGGGCTGCAACTGTCTGAGGGCCCTGCCTCTCTCACCTGCATACTAGTGTGAGGCCAGATTTTCTTCATGTATTTCAGCTAAAAAACCCATTTTACCAAATTGAGAGCAGAAGCAGAAATGGAGAGTCCAGCTGTCATCCAAGACATTAAAGAGACCTGGAAATGTGTAAAACAGTGCTACTTTTTCCACTCAATTTCTATGTTTTGGAAAATAGAGAAAATATTAAAAAAGTTGTTTTAATGAAACTGTTATTTATGTCAACATGTAGTGGGTTTATTTTTCAGTGAGTTAGTTTTATTCTGTAACACAATAAAGAGCGTCAGGTCACCCCACACAGAAAACTTCCCCAGTGCAAAGGGGTCCTGAGACCAAAATGTTTGAGAACCACTCTGCTGAAATGAATTATCGAAATCCTTCCACAAAGAAAGCCCCAGGCCCAGGTCGGCTCACTCATGCACTCTATCAGACACTGAAGGAAAAAGCAACAGCAGTCTTTTGTAAACTCTTCCGGAGAATACAGGAGGTGGCCAGAATATAAGGCCAGAATAACCTTGACACCAATTACGAAAGAGACACTACAAAAAAGAAACTAAAGAAAAGTCTGGGGGCGCCTGGGTGGCTCAGTCGTTAAGTGTCTGCCTTTGGCTCAGGTCATGATCCCAGGGTCCTGGGATCGAGCCCTGCATCGGGCTCCCTGCTCAGCGGGAAGCCTGCTTCTCCCT